ATTACTTATAGTCTCGTGCAGGGGAGAAGTGTTCTATTACTATATCCTCGCATTTGGCATCTATCTCCATTCTCCATGCGGACTCGTTACTCTGTAAGTTCTAAAATTAGCCACAAGTTTACTGACTTAAAACCCTCGAACTCTTACACATGTGCCTTAATTTATCCCACAATCCTTGATAAATGAAAGGCTCTAATATGGTTGATAGGACCGGCACCAAGCTGTTGATCCCTCAGATTATATGACACACAAAATAATTTTGATTTCAACACATGCGGGGTGCGACTAGTCAGTGATCTGCCTCCATTACAACTTTATAAGTGTTCTTTCCTTGAGGCTGTGGTAAGTTTCTATCCGGCACGTAATTATGTTCCCATGGGTAAGGTGTTGACTGTTGATAGGAGGTTGTAAATTATTGCAAGATTGAGCTGAGCAGCGTGGAGGTGGGATGATGGCTCCGTGTGATGTGTGGGCCACGCCTTTCTCAGTAAGCCAACCCTCCTCTCTCTTCCCCTCCCTCCCTCCCTCTATCTCCCCCGGCCCCCTCTCCCTCCCTCCCTCCTTCTATCTCTCCCTCCCTCCCTCTCTCTATCTCCCCCTCCCTCATTCCCTCTATCTCTCCCCCCCCCCCCCCCTATTTCTCTCACATGAGTCATCCCCACGACTATTAAACCGGTGTTTGACTTGTTAGAGAGCTTTGCTCAGTGATTTAATGGTCTTGTTGACTAAATAAGTTTTGTGTCCGACATCTCACTTATTAGCCGTGCCCATTTAAGGGTCTCTACTTTGGATGATGTGATTGCTTGTTGAAGTTTATTTTAACCACTATTTGTTGAGATGAGGGTGCACTGTTACCATAACTCATTTTCTCCTCAAGTCTTACTAATCTCCTGCAAGTTAAGCAGATGATCACGGTATCTAGAATGTAATTTGCGCTATGACCCAGCCGTCCAATTCTCCATCTCTTTCCTTTGACAAATAGTTAATCGAAATGTTCAGAAGTGGAATTGTCTCAATGTGAATTTACCCTCAGCTCTGTGAAGTGTCACTTTGCTTGATATAATTTGTCTCGTTTCAAATTGTGAGCTATGAAGCACCGAGGAATGCAGATAAATAGTTGGTACATATAATATATTGAATTTCTTCGAGAAAACGTTAAGTAGCGCTCAAACCATGATTTGATACGCACCTCCAACGAATAATAGTACTAATTTAGCTATCTCGATTCATTTTCATTAATACTGGCTCGAACTAGGACTTGTGAATAGCTGCTTATGATAGTGATAATTTTATTCGTGCGTGGTCTTCGTGGTTAAAATATGTGGAAGTGAAATAATAGCTGAAGCAACTATCACTATGTACGGTACTTAGTAATAAGCAACTGCTCGATACTCGACAGTTGTCAAATCATTGCGGTGCTAAAGATATGACATTTTTGCTCGGTTGGTTTGGCTTTTTTGGTCAAATTATCTAGAAGCACATAAATGTTAAGGAAGATTCGCTAAGTGTATACTCCATACTCCAGCATCATTATACTGTCATGCATTTTTAAGTTGAAGGAGCCTCCGAGATATTATATATTTCTTTTATCACCATTTTGCTCGGTATGTTTTCTTATGGATACGTACCCGGAAAGCGAGTTCGTGATATCACGTGATACCATGACAACTGTTTGTTCCACTTATTTAACAGATAAAGACTTCCTTAAATTAACACGTCATAAAAAGGTTTGCCTCATAACTACATCGTATCCGGTTATCCTACCAGACAGTGTGGTATTGCTAATCCGATACCAAATACTGGATACAAACTCTTCCTCAGAATTCTGATTTTCTATTATTATATCATATATATATATAATATATATATATATATCTTGTAAAGGAGAGTCATTTAAAGTATTTTCTGCTGATTAAAACCAAGCCGATCGAGCAGAAGATTTGAACCTTTGAATTATGAAGTATGACTATGGTGCCAGAAAAACCTCTGTCTTCTGCGGTAAAATTTAAACGAAATCATTAATTTTCAAGATCTTTTTTACATTTTTCGTTTAAAGGATGGTTACTTTTCGATTTTGCGCCGTTCAATTTATAGATCTGCATTTGGTTATCGGCTGACTTAAATTTTTTAAAGAATATAGGCCATATCATCAGATTAGCGTTAAAATTACATTGTGTGAGAAAATGTCAAAGAGCAGCTTAACTCGGTCACGTGATTGCTATTACTTCTGCCATGGTCCCGGTTTAATAATTTAATTATTCGTTTATCGTTGAGGGGGCAACGTTTGTCGTCAGTAGCAGAAAAACAGGAAACTGATAAAAATTATCGTGAAGAAATTCGCTTTTGTACGAAATCTCATAAGACATTACTATAACTGTTCTCTTTCTGCAGTAGTTTCACGTGTTTCTCAATCTCATAAGCTACCCTGTCGTCAGTCCTCAAACAACCCGAAATAACCATATCATTTTAGAGTGCTTTTTGAGGTAAAGGATTTAAAACATTTTTATAACCCATCGCCACTGAAGCAGCGTGGACCTTTTATTGGTTCATAATCCCTCAAATTGGAGAAAGAATCATTCAGTGATCAACATAATATTTTCTGGACCGGAAATTGGATTTCAAAGACTTGTTTCACTTATATTCCTTTGACGATATTGTGTCTACGTTGGAATACTTCATGGTGTGTTCCCCAGTTGTCCCTGGCACGTTTTACAATGAGCACGCGCGCGGCTCAGTGTATGTTTGATACCTCACTCTGCATTATATTACATTTGACATGCAGTCAGTAGGTCTCATTAAAATCGTTTCCTAAATGGGCAATTTTCCTGTCATCTCTGAACATAATAGCGTGCTTGAAATGTGACAGGAAGTCAAGAGAGAGAGAGGGAGAGAGAGAGAGAGAGGAAGGGAGAGAGGGAGAGAGAGATTTTCGTTATGTGTTAGCCTTTACCTTTTGACGTTGCTTATATATGGTTATAAATATGCAATACTAATATATGTCTCTCGAAGACGCTCTGCGATTGTCATCGTGGTAATATCTGGATCTTGCTATAAATAATAGCTCATTTTAACTATCATTGGTGACTGTTAAGTGTTGTCACAGATATGAACCTGATTGATAACTAACCATGGTACTTAACTTCGTCAATTATTTGAAAGATAGTTTCCACTCCCGTGGTGGGGGTGTTCCAGTTCTGATCATTAATATCTTTATTAATTATTATGCCCATTTCGTCATTTCATGCTGCCATTTGCATTATACGCGGATAAGAACAGTTTATCATAATGGACGGCGGGGACCGGGGTTACCACCCTACAAATCGTCATTAAAACAAATTGCTTCATTCATTTTACCCCTAGATATTATAGGTATCGATCGGAACTCGTCCAACAAAACGCATACTTGCATAGGTTCATTGACACCTTTACTTTGGTGAACTGAATATGGCCGAATAACATTTTTATTCTTTGTGTCCCTCATATATTAAGCTACGTTGAATATCATTGATACGAATCTCGAATCATTTAGGTTTACTGGTATAATTGTCTCGCCCATCGGTCTTATTGTGCAGTCCTTGAATCAGGATTTAATTTGGTGAATACTGATCAGTAAATTTCCCTCGCATTTCTTTCTAAAGGAACTTCTAGACAGCAGATCTGTTCTGGACACATTGTCTGATATTACAGGCGTGTTTTATACTTATAGTAGAAACATCCTGCAAATCTGGGTATGTCGTACTTGTAATGAACAGGTTGGCAGGGAAACATCAACCCTCACGGCCCAGCACTCTCCAGCCCTTATATCTTTATATAGTGAGTATTTTCGCAAACGACTTGGGGATCCGTTTTTCACTCCAATCAAGTCTCCTCAAGACCAGTACCTACTCAAACTCAACACTAACAGTCATTATATGATGGTTCATTTGCGGTAATGGGGTCACGTTTATGGGACATTATCCTGTCATATCTTCACGCCACTGAAGACCCATTACTGTTTAAAGCAAAGCTATCAGCATTTCTTAAATCGTTTACAGATTATTATTCGATCAAGTAGAGGAAGCTACAATTCTCTCCTAAATATCCTAAGCAAGTATATTATAATAATAAGCATACCATATTTATAAGATTGTAACGAAGTCCTTGACAGAGAACCATGCTAATAGCCAGATCTCCCACTCAGTACTCGTGCTCTGCAGCAGCCACTTCCTCGACTTCCGGCTAATCATTGATGACACCACCCGTCAGGTCTTGCAACCAGCTGTCATAAACCGGTTGCGCAAGCAAGCAGTGCTGGCAGTGTGGTGCTGAGCACTGAGTTTAATAATATTAAAGCTGCAAGAACATGGGCACTGAACGTATATTATTGGAGCTCAACTCCCCTTATCGGACTAGCTGTAATGTTGAGTCATGATTCAGATTTAGAGCCATCGTTATCCTTTCGTGTGCAATTCCGATATAAATCGCGAGTATCGGCTATCCTCTTCGAGCATTTATTAAAATCGGAATTTTTTTTCATCAGCTAAATATAAAGTCCTTCTACATATTATTATAGCCTAATATGTTACATGTATGTATACTCGGTTAATTTATTTATTTTTAGATTGAACTCTTTTTTGATGTGATCATGTTCTATCGTATCGGTCTTGTATAATGATAAATTAAAGAATACTCTCGCGTGGGTACCTACGACGGAAATTTCAGTAAAAACCAGAAAATTCCAAGCCTGGATTAATTGCGAAGTATATCCAATCCAGGCCATGGTCTTAAATTGTCATAGTATATAATAATAATAATATACCGATTGCCAAGGTTTGATGCCTAGGCAGTCGAGACCTCTTATTGAGACCCGATATAATAATAATAATAACGCTTTATTTGTATACCTACCGCTATAAGTAGGTTTTAAATGAATGTATTATATATATATATGTATTTTCTTAATTTCTCTTAATTTTAGCCTGAAACTGTAAAAGTAAATCTAACCATTTCCCTGCCCCTAGCACGCCGCTGTATGGTAAGTACACAGGAGAGGGATCATGCACAATGATGAGTGACTGTGAACAGTACGGCCCTAACGAGGACCACCAGTACGACGGCGGAGGAGGAGGAGGAGGAGGAGGAGGAGAGGGGCTGCCGCCACCACCTCAGTACATCCCTCCTCCCCCTCCTCTTCCTCCTCCTCCTCCCTACTTAGATCCTGGAGTGATGGGGTTTGAGCCGGGTATCCCGTATGAACCTGATACGGTGTACGAGACGGAGCAGATGTCTCTACCTGCCCCTCAACACTATCCTACACTCTCACTCTGCGCTACTTATCCTTCCAACTTCTCCGCACAGGTTAGTGAGGTTGTTCTTATTTTATTGTTCTTTGTAGAGTCTTCTTGTTTTTTTGTTCTTTGTAGAGTCTTCTTGTTTTTTGTTATGCTTGTTTTGCAGGGTGCATTCAAATTCGAGATCAGACATTCTTAATTATTGAATTGTAGGGATTTGACATATTAATATTAATTCCAAATACTTGATATTCGTCAGTTCAACTTCAATATAACTTCTATGACATTCTTGACAATATAATTGATAACGCCGAATATCACGAGGAGGGGTGGGAATGTAAAATTAATCGTCACAGTCGCAAATTTTGTTAATTTTCACTATAGCGAAAATATGTTGTTGCTCAATTTGTTACTATTAATCCTAGAGTGTTCCCGATTTATACTTCCACCATTACCTCAATTATGCTGCGACATGAAATCGTTTAGCAGGAAGCTCTTTGCGGTACCAGTGGCTTTGATGTGAACATAAATGGCAACGAAAACGTTTGTTGCGAAACGTTTGACAAGTTCGTTCGGCATTGACGTAATCAATCATAATCATGAGAACGTGTCTTTCCCTGTCACCTCTTACCTATTTTAGGCACAAACTTTCGTCCCAAATCTGATTACTTAAAAGCTTAAAGATGCATTAAATATTGACCGCCTCGATGATGTCAATGATGTATGTCTCGGAACGTTGACATATATAAATTGTGAATAACGTCAATCGCTCATTTCCTCTTTGGCAGACATGTTTGACAGGATTTTAACTCCTTGCCAATTTCAATATAATGTCCGTTGTGGCACCGGTTAAAGTTAAACACACCTGAGCCACTCGGCCTAGCCTCGGTGTTTTGTCTGGCACTATTTAAAGTACTTGTGTGTACTTGTGTGTGCTGTAAGCTGTACTGTGTGTGCTGTTATATACAAACAAAGGACACGTTAATAATTATAATTGCACTGTTTTGTAATGTTTTGTTTCTGTATCGCCTGAATTCTTTTAAACATTTTAATGTACAAAGTTTCTCAACTTTTATCACAATGTCTGAGCCTGAGGAAATGATCGAAACCTGACCCGCATCAGATCGTAACATGGATTATATTATTTTATAACATGTTACATGTATCACGTAGGTTTGAACATTTACTAGGCCCCGTATTAATATAGGTTGGGACAGTTACTGGGGCCCATCATTGACAAGTAATTTCATAAATTATCGAAGTCCAACTCTTGGTCACGCACTAAATATTTAGCTTTAAATTTAGTGTAGTTGTTGTTATATATAAAGAATATAATATGTTATGTAAGTTATATATTATATAATATAAGTTATATAAGTGACCTTCGTCGCACCTAATAACTGGGTTTGACACTAAAACTAGGGAACAAGTGCTCCTCGCTGCAGTCCTCATCTGGTTTACAGTTGCCGGCACGTTAAATTATGCAATTTTAGAGTCCCTGATTACCGTCCCTGATAAACCAGTGTAGCTAAAGTTGCTCCTTTGCTCCTATTTATTTTTCCTCCTTTCTGTAACGCGTACATTATGTTGTACTCAAGATTCGAGAACAATTATTATTAGCGAAGGCTAGTGAATGCGACTCAAGACTCGTATAATATATATCCAGATGCAGATGTTCGCTTAGCTGGTATTAAGTTGCAACATTTGTTTCTCAATTCATGCTATTGCTACTCAGACGCTTATTATGATATTATACGGTCGTACGGTCTATTTCTCACATAACATTGTGTTCTTTCGTTGTACTTTCGGTACACAGTACATTTTATATTAAGATATTCCGCCTAAATGAGCTATCTTTATAATTGTAGGTTATGAACTTCTAGAAGACTGAGGAATGTTCCCTTTGGGTTGATGGTTTGCTTAATTCTGAGTTATAATGAAATTTCGTGAATTAAATGGAATGAATAATGACGTAATATCCTTCTTATACAACTTCATTTTTTAATAGTTTTTATTAAGTGTTTTGTGTTGCTATGAATAACTCCACCCGATTACTGACCCCATATCCTCCCCACAGAGTTCACCAGAGGTTCGGGGTTATCCCATCGGAGGACTCTCGGACTTATCACCCCCTCCCACGGCCACGTCACCATGGAAACATGAGTTGCAGAGCACGTGCAGTGAGGACAGCGCGCTTCACTCTGACTCTGATAACCTCCAGGAAGACTCCTTGGTGTCACGTGTTAGAAAACAGCTAGAGTACTACTTCTCACTGTAAGTTTTCATTCGTATCATGTTCGAGTTCAAAATATACAACGTTCCATCCATCATATTTTGTTTCAAGCAACCAAAGTATTGAGAGTTGGGACGTCAGAAGGTTGCTGATTTGATATTAAGTAGGTCAAACTAAATAGTTTGCTGTTCAAGAGCGAACAAGCTGTTACATGTTAAATTGGCCTCTTTTTTTTTTTTTTATCTAGACACTTATTTTACTTCGGTGTATTCCAACAGCCACAATGTTACACAAGTGCAACCAGCCAATTACAGGAAGCCGAAGGATCTTTTTGGCCAGTGACGGTTAAGGTAGTGTGTACCATACTTTCTTCGTCCGAGACTTTGCTGCAATGTGCAGCTCCTCATTTAACCCTCACACCCGATTTCTCGAGTATTCGGCTGAGTAGACCGGGGGGCTGCATAGACCACTCATGATCCTTAGCTGAACGTCGACGACGCTCACCCCACGACCAGGCAGTCAGTGGGTTTCGAACTCGCAACCTAACGATTGTAAGACAGGCGTTCTAACCAACTGCGCTACCTGGCCGTGCCAGTCTTAAAACTGAAAAGTGCACTTTGATTAATATAATAAACAGTGTGGTCAGTTTTGCAAAATACACATTTGCCTGCATTTTCATGGTAAGAGGTCTGTAAAATGTTAAGGCCAGAGGGGGGGGGGGTAAAAGTCGATTTTCCAGTTTTCACATATTTGTTCAGAGCTGCTGGAGACAAACAAGAAGAAAAAAACCGGATCGAAATCTGACCTTGCGTTTTTAAGATATCGCGCGCCAAATATTGAGGTTTACATGTAATTACATGTAAAACTTTAACTTAAACTGTAAAAAGTTAAAAGTCCCTTAGTTGAGAATACTGGCCACATCCAGAAGCTGAAACTTGGCACAGTTGTTCCTTGGGCTGTCACCCACAATTCTATTGCACAGAATTTTGATATTTGCCTCTGTTCTCGAGGTATGAGGTTAACTTTACCCCAAATTCGACATTTTTCAAAACGATGTTTCCAGTCTGAATTTTTGGGCTACCAATTTTGTTCGGTCCTATAGACCTTGGAGGGGCCAAAAACATTTTCAGCTCTCTACTAACTAGTAAATGTACATTTTGCATAACTAACCAGCCGACATGACGTCGCGTCTCAATATATTAAAATGTACGTAAAGCGTTCATTACAGCGTATATTTATGTCCTGTGAACGTTGAATATGATTTACCAAGTAACTCAATTTTTGAAGACATTCGTTTCCCAAATATGTCGCCGTAATTACCTTCATGACATGTGTTAATCGTCGATAGAGTTAGTTCTAATAGCAGAGCTTAATAAGCTATGTTGAATTTATTTTGATTTACATTCTTCTGTTTGTTGATAGTTCCAGAAAACTATTCTTTTAGGTTAATTAACAATCTCAAGTCACTGGACTATAAAGCTATGAAGCGTAAGTTATTAGGTCAGTACCAAGTCGAAGATGCGACAATTTTCAATCTGGAGGCCTTTCATTAATTTCGCCCGCAATCCCCTGCATTCTTCTGAAGGCTAATTGGCCTCGCACAACTGTACTGCACTCTAAGCCGGCAACGTTGCACAACACGCCTACATTGTGGGAAAATCTGCATCCTGCAAGTACGTTAAACCTGCAAGTGCGTTATGATTTGTCGCTTAACTGATCTATTGCCCAATATATGTAGGTACATAATCACGGTATTACTTTATGTGAATAAAAGCAAACTTAATCATGATTTTCAGCAGTTTTTGCAGAGATCAAGACTGTCACATTTATTCGTTAAATATTTTACCCTACGATTTAAACTTTACACTATCACAGCATTAGATATAATAACTTAATAAAAACGAGACTTAATATGGAAATAATATGAATAGGGTAAGGCACATAATTTTGTCAGGGTACCTAATTTTGTCATTTTGCTCTGAAAAACTGCCTCGGCTCGGAATTTCAGCTTGAAAGAAAAGGATTGTGTATAAAAAGAAAGCTTAGACTTTGCTGAAACTGCTCGTACAAAGTTTAAGTTTCTAGCTCTTTTGCATCTGTGTCAAAAATGAAGGCGAAACTGTTAACCCGAAAAATAAATAAGATCCTTAAGGTTTTCTTAAGGAATTTTCAAAATTTTGATTTATTGCTATTTCAAAAGTAATTGAGCTAGCTTCATGCCATTGCATATTTCAAATATCTTCTACAGCAGAAGTATACGTACAAATTTTCAAGTCTCTAGCGCAATTATTGTTCAAGTTACAGAGGGTGACAAGATTAGGTTCGATTTTGCCAGAAGTACCTAATTTTGTCAAAAAAATCGACCTTTCTCAAATTTCTTGTAAATCACAGATTGTGTTGAAAATGGCCTTAAACAACTATTCTGAAGTTTTTTTGCCCATAGGATATGTATAAGGCACTTAAATAATAGCATAACACTTATAATAGCATATTTTCGCCGAGAAATATTAGGTGGATAATCTGATTTTTTCAATCTAAAATGACTAAAAAAATATTTGATGAAATTACTAAGCAAGTGATCTATCTACAGACATGAAAATTTCAACCTAGGCCTAGAACCAATCGTTTTTCAAGATGCCAGTGGTTTCAGGGGCATTTGGGGCTATTTTCTAAGATTAGATACCCAAAAAGTGTCATCTTTTCATCAAGCTACAAAACTATGAAAACATCATATCTTTGGGATTTTTGAGGTCAATGTTGGTAAAAAAGCGCTCGAATGATGCATCCAGGTAGTCTAAAATACCGAGAAACGGTTACTTTTTGCACAATCTTCAAGTGACAAAATTAGGTTCGGGGTGACAAAATTAAGTAAAGTCACCTAATTTTGTCATTTTTTCAAAATAATTTTTTTTAACATCTTCAACCCCAGCAATTTCGATCATTTTTGTGTTAGAACTTGCCTAGACTGTCTACTATAACATGGTGGAGGTTTCATCTAAATCGGAATTTCAGACGAGGTTAAAACCCATGGTTTATATCAGGCAGTCGGAAAATTGCCAAAAAATGACAAAATTATGTGCTTTACCCTATAACGTAATATAATATGTCCTACAACGTAATTAAAAATGATGTCACAGTGTCACTTAGGTAGAGTTCTTGTTTTGAGGCGTGCACTGATCTCTGTGTGTGGTTATACGCAACAACCAACTCTAATTACCGATCTTGGCTTGCAGGCCCTGCCCTGTTCATTATAATTGTCATTGTTGCTCAGTGAGTTACTCATTGTTGCTCAGTGAGTTGCTCATTGTTGCTCAGTGAGTTACTCTTTTCAGAGAGAACCTGTCGTCAGATCAGTACTTGATATCGCAAATGGACGGTGACCAGTTTGTCCCCATTTGGACCGTCGCTAACTTTAATGCTGTAAGTGAACATAAAATATGTATTATTTTTGAAACGAGTGTATTTATTAGAATATTTTCGACATTATGTCGTTGTCTAACTGAAACTTTTGTTGAGGATCATGATTTTGACTTTCTTGCTCGGTAGGCCCTCTTTATAAGACTCGAATATTGATAAACTTACTAATGGCAGTGACTTATTTTACATATTATTTTCTCGTGATTTTACAAGAGTAACGTGACAGATTCGCTGTCTACTCATGTTAATACTTTAATACTTGATAAATATTAATAAATTCTCGCTAATATTTTCTGCTGTTCAGGTAAAGAAGCTGACAACAGACATAGAAGTAATAAAGGAGGCACTACACAGTTCCACGGAGGTGCAGATTGACAGTACAGGAAGCAAAGTCAGGCCTGTTATCAAGAGGTGCACTCTAATTCTCCGAGACATTTCCCAGCACGCCACAGCTCAGGTTAGTTATGGAGCGACAGAGGTCCACTCTCATTCTCTGTCATGACATGTCAGGTTACATTTTACGCGTGTGGTTAGACTTCTGTGAAATTTACTTATTGCTGGACGAATTGCGCTTTCTTTCCAATTCATCATCGTTTGAACATGCAGTGCACGAGATTTTATGCGCTTTTTTCGTACGATCCTCTGATTTCTGAGAATAAAAGCACGTGGAGAATGGGTTGCAATTCCATGATTTATATGGACTTGTCTCAAACCAATCAATATGAGGAGATGTAGTAAAGTCCTTTTTCATCAAATTACAGTCTCATGGTGTGGTGATAACTGATTCAATCAAAAGTTTTTTGTTTTCTCAACAGCACTTCAATGACTTCGCTTGAATCAGAAAAAAAGTTGACAACAAGCCATCTTCCTAAGTTCACATATCACGCAATCACTTTGTCAGACTTTGTGGCGATTATGACGTAGGACGACCACTAAACTCACTTACTTTCCTCAGGAGATAGCAGGGCTGTTTAACAACTCGTCCGACTGTCCTCCCAGTATTAAGTGTACCTTTGCTCACAACAACAGCTGGTTTGTGGAGTTCCGGACAGAACACGAGGCTCTCCAGGCTTACTCTTATTTCCGGGAACACCCTCATTACTTTCACGGGGACCTCATCAAGGTATATTACTAACGGGCTAAATGTAATGATTCTGGTGGTACAAGAACTACTACTACTTCCGCGTGTGAGAGAAAATGCCGAATTAACTTATACATTCGCCTTTAGAAATAACTTATATAATTTATTACTCAGGTTCGTATAAAAGCAAAACCAATACAGAGAAGTTCTCCGACAGACTCCAACCCAGTGGCGTACAACTCCGCTCTGTATCAAGGAAGTATGCCATGTTACCCCGCCATGTTACCCATGATGTGGATGCCTCCTTCTGGCATGGTACCCATGGACCATGTGGTGAGTGTCCTTCCTTTCGCCCACCTAGGCCTGGTTTCCTTTTTATATTCTCAAATTAGCCATCAATTAGTACTTGAGTTTAACATGATATCAAATAAATGTATTAATATGGGCGCAATATATTAATTGCGCGCATTTTTCTATATCAAATCTTTTTCAGAACTACCCGGCTCAAGGAGGGTACCCAAATAACGTACCAGACCACCAGGATTTGGAGGACCACCGCTACAGGTTTGTTAACTTCTACTATTTCTAAAAGTAGTAACATGTGTACTTTTCTAGTAATCTCATGAAGAAGGGAAGCGTCAGCCACTTATCCCAAAAATGTCGCATTTTTTACATGAATATTATACATAATTCAGAAAGTTTTATATTAATGCAATTTGTATTCCAAAATAACCAAAATAAACGGCAACGACGCCCCCATCGCCACCAATACCGAATATTATATCGGCTTTGTAATATATTGACATACCTGTCAAATTATATGTGCGAAATCTGTTTGATATTTTAGTTATTCTAGAATATACCGTCACCGATACCAGATACGAGATTCAATTAGCCTTCCGAGTGCACTTTCAACCTGACAAACTTTGTCAATATCCCACCCAACTTGGCCACTATTTTACAACCGTGGAGGTAAAGCTATTACCCTGGTAAAACGTTTGTGGGCCGAAGGCCCGAGAAATTATTACTAGGGTAATAAAATGTTATTATTACACCCCTTTACAAAACAGCGGTCAATTTGAGCTCTTTTTGACTCCTGTCGATCCTTGGTTTAGGAGACAACTTCACGTGACATAACTCTGTATCATCATTGGACTACTTATACTGTTCGCCATGTTACCTTAAGGGAGATTACATGCCAGCTCCTTATTGGATGATTTGTTTAGTCATGTGCCTGGTAATCATTGATAGCTGTGAAACCCGTGCTACTTCTTATTCGCTCTATACCCATTGGTAGTGAGCTGGCAAACTAGTCATATTTATCCTGCCAGGAACTAGAAGTAGATTTCGTACTGAAAGAAATGATGAAAGGGTAGAACAACTGGATAACTCCTAATTTGTCAATCATTCTCAATTTTTATTTCACCACTTTAGCTACTATGTAACCGTTCAGCTCCATAGGTTACTTCATTCTCTAACTATTTATTTCCACTATTCTTCTGGAACTCACAGATCGCATAGACATTTAATAAGCCTATACTACACATTATCTGTGATTATAAGCTCATTCTCTACCTAACTGTGGATTCTGTGTTCAAATAATCGCAAAAAATGAACAAAATTGCCCATATCTCAGTTCGCGATATTTGCAAAACTGACTTCGCTCAAAACAATAGAACTCAATAGGGTTTCAATATTTTTACATGAAATTTTCAGAATCAACGTAGAATCGCATTTCGACCTTAAGTTTTGTATTGGAATTTTGAGTTAGGCCTTTTAAAAAATTTGGCGGCCAAATTCCAAAATTTGGCCGCCACTAGCTACAAGTAAAGCACCTAAAATCTGGATTTTGGGCATGTTCAGGGTATTTGGCTAAATTGGGCCTAATTTGGACCAAATATGGGCGTGGCTGCCCCGCGGGCACCGTTTGGCGGTTGGGGTCCGGGACCCCCTCAAAAGTTCGGTCACTGGTCCTAGTTTGTTGGTCAACTGCTATCTCGAAACCAAGTTTCACAAAAAAATCAGGGTGAACCCCCCCCCCCCCCCCCCCCCCCTTAAAAGCTATTTGTAACTTATAATTACTATTTTCAAGAACTGTAGGAAATTACTCATTTCTTGTAATTTCACCACCGCTGACCACAGCTCACATGATGTCAAAACATTTGGTTATTTCGGGGTTCCGATATAAAATATTGATGTTTATTAGGGACCATGGTAAGGTCACTAACTAAGGTAACTCACTAAGGTATAGTAAGTAAAACAACCCTGATACCTAATGTAGACTTTGTTCAGGGTACGAAGTGCTGACTCAGCAAACTACACAAACAGAAGGAAGCCTCGTCGCAATAACAGCAGCAGATCTGGTGGAAGCTGGAGGCACTCTGATGTTAACAACAGAGATAGGTAGGATATCAAGATTTACAATATATTTAAAGATGATTATTGGAGAACTTTTAATTTTAGGGGTTGAACCTTGTGGTCTGGAATCTATATCTTTATTTGACAATATATGTCAAGAGTCAATAATATGCCATTTTTACAGGTATTCACGCTCGAACAACAACACGTATCACCGCCACAAGCGGAACGACAGTGACGACAGCAGCACAGTGTCCTCCGCAAGCTCCTACAATGTTCCACCACCCACAAAACATGGCGCACTCAACAAGAGTCCTGCTGCTGTCCCCAACAACAACAGCACTGCTAAACGTAGTGCTTCCCAGGCTAACAACAAGCAGACCCCCTCCTCCGGCAAACACCTCCAAAACAAATCTAACGCTCAGAACAAACCTCCTCATCAGTTTAATTCTAATAGACAAACCCTACATAATCACAAGAAAGCAGCTGTAAAACAGCAGCAGCAGCCTCAACCCCCTGCTCTGGAGAAGGATATAGTCCCCTTGAAGATACAAACGAAGGTTCCAATTAACAAGCCTCCAGAAAAACATATCGATCTAGAGCCCTCGCAGTTCCCGCCCTTATCATCAAATCCTGGCAGTGTAAGTGGACTTATCTCACTTGATTGATGTGGAATCTAATTGATAAACACTGCTTTGATTTAAGCCTATTATTTTAAATTTAGCTAATCTCATCATGCGACAAGTGCAGTGTGATAATGTATTATCTAGAACTGTTATCTTTTCAGGATGTTGTCAAAGTGAGTACGGCATGGTGTAAGAGGAACGATAAGCCCGCCGAACCCATCTCCCCCAAATCAGATAACAGCTCTTCTTCAACGCCTCCTCGAGTTTCCGGCCCGTTATCCCCTACCAGAAATCAGATGACTAGTAGAGGCGGAGGTACCGCAGCTAGGGGAGCTAAATATGGTCCCAGAACTGGTCAGTTCAGGGCTGATAGTTACTATAACCGGGGTACCCGGAGGGTGGTAGAGAATCACGTGTCTGCTGATACTTCCATCAACTGGAGACGCAGTAGTCAGGGCTCTAAACCCTCCAGGTAACATTCAATATCATCTAATATTGTTGGTCACTCATTGTACCATGATGAACATTGAGTTCTGGAGAAAAGCTGCATATTCTTTTAGCTCATTGTAAAGCTGTGAACTATTCTCAGAGCGATGCGCCCAATGAGGAGGTCAAACAAAAGCTCTGAAAGAAGAGAGACAGATTTTGTTCCTGATATTAACATTAAGGCGGTTTCCACTGTAAGTTTAAAATGATCACACTTGATACTTTAAACTATGAATTTTATTCGTTATAAATGGCAGCTGTCCCGAAAATATCCCAAAAGTCACGATGTTTTTTGTTTGTTTTTTTGTTTCCCTAAAAAACAATTATCTAAGGGTTTCAGATACACTGTCCATTAAACGTCTAAACCCTACATTTTGATGTTTTTCAGGAGGATTTCTCCAACCGTCCGTCCTACTCGGAGATGGCTGCTAAAAGTTCAGGTAACGAGTCTGACCCGTCCCCTGGCCCCGTTTGTAACGGAAATGCTGATTCCTCAAGCGAAGAGGACTCTAACAAGGCCTACAGAAAAACATTTTCCGAAGTAATCACAGCTCAGCAAAACTCGTCAAACGTTACGTCACCGCCTGATCACGTTACCGTGTCCAGAAGATCTGAGTCAAGTGATTACAGTGCTCAGAGTCCTACCACTCCAAAGAACGAGGTGGTCAAGAGTGAGATTGAGGAAACAGTCTGGACTAAATCAACGTACAGGAGTCCTAAACCTAAGGCTGTTAACTTGAAAAATGTTTACAAACTTGAGACCAAGTTAAATGACCTGGATATTTCTGAGCCGGTTTTCCCGGCGGGGGCCCCTACTGAAGTCGATTCAGGTCCTTCTAATTCGACGATTGAAGAGAAGGAATCAGATAATCTGACGACACCTAAAGATATAATCACTCTAGAGAACACGCCTTTCAAAGCTGCTATAAACTGGTTCGATGATGATGACGATTTCCAGGATGATGATTTCCTGATCGATAGCATAACAAACTGTGTTGAAGAAACTCTGACAAACTGTGTTGTTGAGAATGAAGTATCGAACGATCTACGTCCACAAAATGATCTTGATCACGTACTGGCTAATGACATAGCTCATGTGGACGAGGACTGTCATCTGCCAGAGAATTGCCTCAACGAGGCAGACAAGGAGACGCCAGCTGTTGAGGACTCGAATGTTGCTCTCAATTGTGTCGAGAACTGCCAACCAGAGGTCGTGCACAAAGTTTATGAGAATGGTGACGGCGGAGAAGAAGCCGAGACAACTGAGACGTTGGGGGCTAAATCTCCAATGGAGTCAGAGTGTAAAAAGCTCTGCGCATCGCCAAAGCCCGATATTTTCCTCCTAGAGGACCCTCCAAAAGGACCAGGTTTCGAGGCGGAGGTTAGTGCGGTGGAAAGCAAAGTTGTTCTGTCACCTGAAAACGAGGAGGATCACGACAGTGAGTATGATTCTGAGAGGGACGAGTTTTACTCCAGCTACTGCGAGTCCCCGGGATGGGAATGACACGTGACCCCTGATAAGTTACCGGGCCCCCGGATCTCTGGTCCCCTAAAGTTAGTTTTCTGTAGGATCTAATATTGTGTTCTGCGCACGTCGCCCAAACAACTGCTTAGTATCTCAATGTTATTCATTCAGAGACACATTACGGTGACATCTTTTAAAGCGGGTTAAATCTTTACTAATTATAACTTGATAATAATATGAACTGTGCTTAAGTAGTCCTGGGCGCGGGTGCGGGATGAGTTCTGAGAGAGACCCTGAACACACCACCGCACTGATAGACTCAATCAAGAACAATGTTCATTAAACAAGGACACCCCCGTTCAAGACTCTATGCTCTGTTTTCTTTTAAACTCCTCCCCAGAAGATTCGCGCTTGAATTGTTACTTAGACCTTGAGTATTTAAATAGTAGTTATATAACGGGTAGTGAGATTGCTATGTTGAAATAATAACGTTGTGTATTGAGCACGCTGAACAATAATGATAAAGGTGCTAAAGGTGATTAATAAATGGAGCAATATATAATTATAATACCCCCTATGATAATAATATGCACACAATAATGCAATGATGCTGAAATGAGTAATGATGTTGTTAATTTAGTAATTTTTTTGTGAAATTTCATCTTATTTTTACTTTGATTTAAATTTTCATTTCTCTCTGTCGCTTGCTGGGCAAGATGATATATAATAATTATTTGAATACGTTTTTAATCCGATTAAAATTAGTGTGTTGTGTTTATTTATTGTCACTGACCAGGGTATGTAACTATTTGAATCGTGAATTTGTCCCCTATACAGTCGAGAAACGACGAGAGAAACCATTTAGCGCATGGAACTTATTTATTATACTTCATTTTCCAGTCTTAACAGTCTTGCTTTGAACCGAGACTTGATATTAGATTTGTTTAGCTATTGATTAGTTACCATTATATTTTGAATGCTATTTTGAAGCCTTGGTTATTTCCTTTAGATAGAATTGTACTCATGCCTGATAATGTCACTACTAATGTTCAAGTTTGAAGTTTCCTGAGTATACGTTACTTTTGCCTACAGAGCAGGTACCCGAGCAGACGGGGACAAAACCGTGAAACTTCCAGCTTCACACGTGCAAACATCACACGTGCAAATATCACGCGTGCAAATATCACACGTGCAAATATCGGAAATCAGACCCAGTGCTACTTATTTTACCTGCTCTGTAGCTTATGTCATATTTTGCCTTTAGTTCTTTATAATATAATCATTTTAAAATTAAAGCATCACAGAATGATTTTAATTGGCATCCACAACCTTCTGGGAATGTGCTTTTAGTTTTCATTTTCGTAATATTTTTAACGCGTATTTATTGTAATTGTGATTGCAACACTAACATTGGTAACCTATTAATCAGATAATTTCAAACTTAAATGATTTCGGCAAAGTGATAAAGTATTGATTCAGTGATCTAATATGATGTATTACACATGGAAAATATTAATTGTTATTAATTTGATGATTTGAAATATTTGATTAATTTATTTGTTCTGATTATTGCTCAATATTATATGCAGATGATACGAATTAGATATTAGCCTAAGATCGGAATTTTTGTCAGTCATTAGAAAAGATGTTTAAAATAGTATTTGTTTTTTGGATTTGTAGAAATGATAATTTAATTATTGTTACTAATACTCGTACTTTAGGTAGCATGTGTTATTTGGCGTTGTTTTTTCTTTGAAAAATGTATTTTTAGCCGATTTATTTGTTCAGCACCCAGTTCACAAGCCTTGTTCGGAGAGTAATATACTGATAAACTTATAAAAAATGTTAATATAATTATAAAGATGAATTGTTGGGAAAATACGTGCTTTTCATGGTTTTATCGACAAATTTTCGTTTTTTTGTGTTATTAATGAGCTGTGTTAAATCTGAACTGTATCGCTTGCTTGATCGCCTTACATTTTGTTCGTTTTATTTTGAACAGCATCAAAACTGGCAGGACCATATTGCCAGATACTTTGTAAATCTTAGACTTCGTTACTGGGCGGCGCTCAGCCTGTCATTCCGCCGAATCTTTATGTTTATAAACATAATACATAATAGCCTGGGGACCCCAGGTAAAGACTTCGTCAAACTATTAATTAACCATTAACGCGACTTTTACATTTTACACTTACTGGAGCTCACAAAGCCGCGGATCATTAAATATGGCACCTAGGCGAAACTTGTCATACGTTGTAGACCTGCACCGCGCACTCGCAACTCGTGCGCGGCGAAACTCACTGATCGAGATCATTCCAAAAATGTATGACAAATTTTGTGCTGACGCTGTGAAAAGGGGCCATCTACTTAGGACGTCCGGCAAATTAAATAGGGAGGGGAAGGTTTTGGAATTTCGGACAGGGAGAGGGGGTGGTTTCTGAAAATCCGGACGTCCGGAAATTTAGGCAGAATTAACGAAAAAGTCCCATTGAGTCCAACTCTTTGACACTTGTTTGACTTTGAGTAATAATTACTCAATGAATTTGAGTTGGTTTTATTTGTACTCTTAAAAGTAGCCGGCCCTGTCATGGCTTTAGAAAACAATGGTACAACAATTTTTTAAATACGAGCAAGTTTATTTTTATTGTGCACCTTGACCTAGCTCGATCCTATTTCTACTTTGTATTGAGTTTGAGGTTGTCTGCCGCATAACTATGTCTCATATCAGTCTATATTTGAAATATAATAATGAATATCAATAAGTTGGAGTTGGACTACAGTATCAAATGCAAAATGTTATTGTTAATCGTATGACGTATAATGGTATTGCATTGGTAAACATTGAACATGAATTTTACTTTTAGGGCATAAGGTTGACAGATGATATTTAATTTTAAGCTAAATTTCTTTGAAGTAGCGCGTGCCGCGCTTTCTTCTCGAAATATTATGGCACGAAGCTTCGACATTCGAAGTTGCGCGCGCCGGGTCAGCCCAATTAATGCCTATCAACAATAAACAAGGCATAAAGAAGCATAATTAGGCAGGTTTTTAATCGATTTTTGTGCAATTTTAAGTATGAATCAAAGTCGATATTTTGGTAAATTTCTAATTTTTATAGCTTTCTGCCAGAAAATAAATCTGGGTTTCTAATTCTATAGTATAGAGGTCCGGGTAAGTATAAAAATACACTACGTCTACATTATAGTACACTTGCACTTATAAGCATATGAGCTCACCTAACCTGGTCCAATGAGCGGTATAGTATAGTAAACGGAGAACAAGCCCTGGTGACGTCATTGCATAATCACGTCACCTCAGCACTCAGGCTCATAATCACGTCACCTCAGACCCAATCAATTAACTGTGTTTTGGCCTGGACAGCTCCATGTTATATTACATGATCTTAAGGTGACGTACGACACTTCTCCTATAACCGGAACTTACCTGGGGACCTCAGGCTATCATGTTCATAAACATAGAGATTAGGGCTAGGCGGAATGACAGGCTGAGCGCGGCCCAGTAAACCGGAACCGGCCACCCAATCAATATGTCTGCCTCTGGAACTGGAAGGCTGCATGCATTTTCACATGGCCAGCATCTATTTTTATTAAGTAGTTTAAAGAGTTGTGCGAGAATCGAGATGACGTCCAGTTAATAATCATAAACGACCCGAAATGCAATTTGCAGACTTCTATTATAACTATACAACTAAAAGTTACAGTGTATCGATCATTGTACCATGTACGAGATCATGGTTAGCTTATGTTTGAGCCGGCTGACTGTCTTCCTGATCTACCGCAAATACAAAGCCATAGTAAGCATTGTGGCACATCAGCACTAGATGCAGCGCACGTACGGCCGGTTGTTTTTAACTTACAACCACTTTTAATTATCGGCTGTTTTATGCTTAGCAAAGTTAGACAGTGAACTATTCAAAGCAAAAATCAAAAACCAACACTATATATAATATGGTTGATGGTTGATGTGTTACTTGCTTGACTACGCCCCTAAGGCTAATCTACTGACATAAGTAAACCTCAATTGTTGGTTAAGCCTAAGGAATACACTCATACAGCTCTACGTGCATTATGATAATATTATTTTAATATTGTATTTGTAATGATTATAATAACTGCAGGACAAACCGACTGTCAAAATCAAGTTTCTGCAGAAGTGTACCTTTCGGTAGATAAAAACTGGTCGAAAATTGAATATGGATCGGTTTTATATCTGTATGACTACGAGCTTTCAGTTTTGTGAAATTTGCATAAGTTGTTATATGATCGATGGTTGTTTCGTGTGTTTAAGTTAAAGACCACCGATGATCATAACAGCTGATGCAAATATTAAGTTTTTCAATCGCATTGAATTTGAAAGTTTGACGCCTGAAAGATTTAACATAACCTTAACTGCATGATTTATGATGGTTTAACAGCGATTCAATTTCTTCATCAGAGCACGTGACTCAGGGGCTCTGATGATGGGACAGACTGAAATGGGAACAAATCATAAGTCGGTCTGCACTGTGATTTCTTTAAATACTGTTATAACACTCTTCGGCGGTGGCCAGCGAATCAGGTAATCAGACTGACCTCAATATTTAATCAATTTGATGTGCTATGTGGGAAAAACATGTAACTTAATCAAAAAATAATATCAAGAAATAACGCCCTTTTTTTAAATAGATGCACAATCAGCGAAGGAGCAAATTAAGAATTCTGAGTTGCTTTTTGTCCATTAACTTTATGAATTTCATTGTTGCGATTTATTCAACTTTGAGTCATATTATGTAAAAATTAAGATCCCTATCTTCTAGTTCTATTCAGTTAATTTGGCTTAGTACATTTACTCCTTTTTTGTGGAGAGGCTGGGCCTGGGTGGCCCACGAGAGGATAGCATGTGGATGCTTTGCCTACCTCTGGGGTATGGTAGTCCTATGGGAGGATGCCGGTGGAATCAGAATGTGTAATGTAGGATGATGGTATGTGTTGTGAGATGTATCATAAATGAACGCTTAAGTGGTAGCTGGGTGTGGAAGAGAGAGGTGAACTAAGACAACGTGTGAGTAGTCGATATGTTACACCAGTCTGGTCTGCAGCTCCTCTGGCACATTTAAGCGTTTAGTGTGGTTTGCGAATTTGACGATTGTGGAGATGTGTTGGTTGTCGAATACCTTACTCGGGAATATTATAGCGGGTTAATTTATGACTGGGAAAAATAATGACCGGGAAAAATATGGCGGACTTTCCCAAAAACCGACCAAATTATCCCGGTCATGTATTTACCGGTGGCCGACCTTTCAAGTTTTTTTTCAGAGGTCAACAAATTTTCAACCGAAATTTCTGTTTTTGTTACTTGTTAAAGAAGTTATTTCAATTTACAGTTATATTATTATTGATATTACAGTTATTGATATTACTCTTTACGATTCACTGATTCATGGGCAAGAGAAGTGAGAATCACGATCCACCCTGAAATCTGATTTCTATAACCAAATTGTGATTTTTATAACGAAATTATGGTAGCAACCGCAAATAAAGTTACAGCCCTCCATCCACTGCTTCAAAAGTCTTCTCTACACTCTAGCACATATGAGACTTCAGGTAAAATATGATGATCACCACCCCCTTGGAACCCCATAATCTGAGTCGGCGGGTTTTTTTATGACTGGTAAAATTTTTGACCGGGAAAAATATGGCGGAATCTTCCAAAACCCACCACTTTATCCCGGTTATAATATTCCCGAGTAAGGTATGTCATTGACGGAGAGGTAGTAGTCCCGGAAATATTGCCCTCTTATTTGGGCAATACCCGGGCATTGTCCAAGAAAGTGTGAGACAGTCTCCTCTTCGTCGCCGCACATAGGACAAGCACTTGTGCTTGATTTGCGAATGGTATGGAGGTGTTTGTTTAGGCCACAATGTCCCGTGATGAGGTGCACTGCAGTTCTGTAATTTTGTCTGTTGTTGTTGAGTGTAATGTTAATATTTTTGATGATGGCGGTGAGCTCTGTTTGATAAACAGTGCAATAATCAGGAAGCTTGAATGATCTTTCCTCTAGGTTAGTGTTGTTATTGTCAGTGGTGATGATATAGCGAGCCCCGCTACCTGAGTCTGTGCGTGACCCGTCTGTGCAGTAACAGGTGATTGTCTCACTGGGGATGTTGTCACTTGTCGATGGTGTTTTGAAGTGATCTCTATACTCAATGTTGTCAGCTCCAGGAGTGGTGACTGTGAAATGCCGTTCAAGCATCAGAATACAGTATCAATTCACTATACAGTTTACAGTTTACTACCATACTTATTATCAAATTTATCACGCGTCCTCTTCAGTTCACGCATGTCACGTGACCATTGCACGCGCAGCACGCGCTACATCAACTTCTAGTAAACTGCACCACACACGCGGTGTGCTGTTCGGATATAATTCAGTATAATATGTGTTACTAACTTGCCCAATACCATCTCGTTCTGTGATCTGCCTCTTATCTTGAAATTAACACTAATTTTTAGCATGTCAGTTACCCACTCTTCTACTCTTGATCAACAGGTCCAGTGGCGTAACGAAGGGCCCTGCTGACCCCGCTGTGCAGGGGGGCGCCGTCTTAGGGGGGGGCGCCAAATCGTCGTTTGAATGTGGGACAATTTCGAAAACTTAACTAAAGTACTAGCAAAACTGCGCGTTTTGCTCTAGATACACACTTTTTTAGAGATTTTTACCGGCGTATCTTCTAAAATCACCTAATTTGTTCAATTTTAGGGAGGGGCACCAAAAGGGGAGGGGGCGCCAACAGGGGGGCGCCTTTTCGGCAGGGGGGCGCCAACAGGCAACGTTACGCCACTGAACAGGTCAGTCAGGCAGTGGTTCACATTCTTGGTTGAAATCTCTGTTTAGGGAGATTTTTGGACTCCCTAGCTTTCTTTGAGAATAGGAGCAGTATGTGTGTCTTATATCCTAGCACTCTGTCTAATTGTCCGGTTTACAGGGCGGTTGATTACTCTGGGCCACCCCATATACTTTGTTCTCGATCCTGGCCCTATGTGGCAAGTTTGCTCCCTAAACCAAAACCAAGTTTGCTCTTTAAACCAAAACCAAAACCAACCAAATACCCACTCTTGACTTGTTGCCCTAATTTGCCCTGATTTATTGCACGAAGACGATAAGTGTTCTCGGCTCCAGCTATCTTACGAGTATCCGGATCCCTTTTGTCAGCGGTTCTATTAGAAGAATTAGACTGCTTACAGTCCCGTACCCTGTTGAATATGGTTATCGCAAGGCTTGTATTATATCTAGTTTGTCATTATGAGCTGTCACATTATTCACAGCTCTTTACAATTGTGCAGGATATGTAGCTGTCGGCTGCTTTAACTTCGGATGGTGTGTTCCTTATCCTTGGGACGTTTTAGACGTATTTGCGGGATTAATCTAAAATACTTTCAGAGTAAATATCATAAAAGAAACTTTCACTGAGACCTTCTCGGTATTTTTATATTCTCAGTATTTATAAACAGTGTATAAATTTACACATTGTAATATGTATATATGTATAGTGCGCCACTGTTATTTGTTTTGAAACTTCCCGCCAGCCAGTCTGAGGTGACTCGCAGTCTGTCCTCATAATATTCAGGCAACCCTTGCGTGAAATTATCGGTAATTATCAGAGTACCAGTGTCAACGTCTTCTTTACCAGTGCAGTGTCCACGACTTTCACCAGTGTCCACGACTTTTACCAGTGTCCACGACTTTTCGGGGAAAAAATTCCCGCAAAATAATATAAACACTAATAGTGTAAATACACTATTAGTGTAAATACACTAATAGTATACACTAATAGTATTACACTGCCGAAATCTTGTTACTTTTACTCTTTACATCTGATTTTAGCATTCCAAGCATCATGATGACCGCTAATAACATAATATTGAACTCGTCTCCAGAGCACACAATTTACTCAAACTGTTATTTATCCGTTATAATGCTAAACGATCTGTCTAAGTTATACGAAACATTTCTTGCTCTTGCTATGAAACAGTTCTGTTGTTCCAATTTTATGATGGCGGATTAACATTAACGATCATTTCGTGATCACTGTCAAATAGTTTTACTTGAGACATGTAATGAAATACTTCGATTAGTCATTGATGATAGTTAGTGCCACTGCAAAACTAACACATAATTCATTCAGTGTATTATACTGAATAAAACATACGTCCACTTCATGCCATTGCCATTGTGTTGAAAAAGTTGTTGTATATTTTGCCATTTCCATAAAGCAAAAATCAAAATATTACTATTAGCATCAATTCGATCATTTTATCTTTAATCTGTAATTCTTGATATAACAGAAGATGCCGCAGTGAACATAAGCTGACTGCTCCAGAATCTTAATCTATAAAACGACTGGTCGAGAATCTGGAATTAGGCTGAAAATTGAAGTATTGATTGGTTTTAAATCATGAACGATCACTCTTTAATTGTTACAATGAAATATGCATGCTGTTATGATCAACAGTAATACAATGGCCGTTGTTAACAACAAAAGTTAAGACACGCAAAAATGCATGCTTTATGGTTAAAACCCGAAAAAAATCCGTGATTAATGGAGGTTAAAATCCATCAGAGAAAAAACGAGTGACTCTGATATGACGATAAAGATTTAAAGGCAAATTAATCTCGCATCCTCTGCAGTTCACGCATGTCATGTGACATTGATCAACCAATTAGACAACTATAGTGTTAGCTATAAATATCCCTTTCTTATCTTGAAATTGAACTGATACTATTTTTAGTTGTATAAGCAACCCCAGCCCCTGCTCTGTACTTTACCATTTGATAAAGATCTATTGATAACTCTTAAGAGAGCATACGTCTAGCTCTTGGCTCCGCTTGTGTGGATCCTTTCAATTGTACCTGCACCCAGGTCCCAGATGGTAGGCTCCAGCTGTCTCGAGACAATTCGGATATCTTTTGTCAGTGGATGGATTCGAATTTGCGTACAGGATCCAGGGTTCCTGTGCACTATTGAAATGTTAATAAGTGCACCGGATATTACCGCACAGTCTTTGAGAATGAGTATTGCACTCTACTGTCGAATGAACGTTAGACTGGTAATTATCATTATGACTATAATTGTGCTGGAAAGATAGCTGCTGGATCCCTGAATTATGGCTGGTGCTCTATGTTTACACCCGTACTCATTGCTCTCTTAACTCGGGGGTATACATTTTTTTCAGAGAATTCTGTAATAATTTTAATGTCAACTTATGAGATCAAAAGTCAGAAGTCAAATTATTAAATACACCTTGTTCAGTTTAAACTCAGTGTTTATTAAATATTCCAGTTTCCACTTCCAAATTCTTAATTATTCAAAATACAAATATTTACAGCTGATTCCAATTTATTGGAATTGGTGAAGAAAGAAGAAATAATACAACGACAGGGCATCATCACAAAACCCACTCTTACTGATTGGTAGCAACATACATGTTCTAGCGGAAGTTGTTACTCTCGTGGCCAAGATGGATAAGTCATTTAACGCTCAAGTGGCGCCCGGCGTTAAGTAGGTGTCTCACTTTGCCTGATGTGCAGGGGACTGCGCATGAGACACCAGCCATTGAAAAGTATGATGATGTCTTATAATAACACTAGGGTTAAAGTCCCTACCACTGATTTAGATGTCGGAGGGGACCGGAATGATGACTCTCTCACCCTAAAACTCCCTAGGAGAGGGGTGACAGATGATATGCCGGCTCCTTCACCCGGCACAAAAAACAACATAAAACACCAAAAAAAGGATGGGGATGCATTGGTTTCTTGTAGTGAGGTAGCTCTAGTAGGGACATTTAATGTTCGAACTGCTAGAGAAGGTTACAAGCGCCTTGAACTCGTGACTCAGTTTCTGGAGAGTGGCATGGAGATCCTTGGGATCCAAGAACATAGGATTGTCCACCAGGAGCCGATCAAGATTGAAAAGTTCAAGGAGGGGGTTAGCTTGGTAACTGTCTCAGCATGGAGGAATGGAGCAGGAGCAGCCACTGGTGGAGTGGGCTTTCTGCTGACTAGAAGAGCATACAGCGCAATTAGCCTCATTAAACCCTATGGCTCAAGGGTGCTGACTATCTCTTTCAACGGGAATCCCAGACTCACAACTATAACTGCTTATAGTCCGACCGAGGCAGCACTAGTTGAAGAAGCGGAGGATTTTCATAACACCCTTAGACAGGCTATGAACGATGTGCCAGCGCACCACCTGCTGATCACAGAGGGAGATATGAACGCCCGGCTTGGAAAGGTGAGTGAAGAAGATTCCCGTTGGTACTTTCATACTCGTACCAATCGGAATGGAGAGCTACTGAGAGACACTGCCCTGGAGTGCGATATGGAAATTACCAATATCCGCTTCAGAAAGAAGGTCAACAAGAGGTGGACCTTCTTATCCGATGGGACACTTAACAAAGGTCAGATTGACTATATCTTCATACGGCGGAAGTGGAAAAACTCTTTAAAGAACACTGAAGTTTACAACACTTTTCAGTCGTTGGGATCTGATCACAGAGTTGTAGTGTGTAAGATCAAAGTTAGCTTTAGGAAAGGACACAGGCCTCCGAAAAAAGTTAACTATGAATATAGTGCCCTGAAGTCGGATGGTGAGCTTCAAAAAAAGTATGCAATTGAAGTTCGGAATAGATTCTCTGGCCTGGTAGAGGAGGATGATGGGGCCACTGAAAGCTACGGGAAGCTTATGGTTGCTATTGAGGCGGCAAACAAGAGCCTTCTGCCAAAGAAGACCCGACAAAAGCAGATTGACCCCTCAAGTGACCCAAGAGTGGACAGTGCAAGGAGGGGACTTTTCTTGGCCAAGGACCAATACCATCAGGAGCCTTGCGAGGAGAAGAGAGAGGAAGTCGCCACTAAGAAGGATTTGTTAAAGGCCTGCTACAAAGAGGTAGAGGAGGAGATCCTGAAAGGAAAGATCAGGAAAGTTGAGGATACTGCTGATCGTTGTAAGAACAAGGAAAGCTGGAAGCTTGTCAACGATATTTCAGGGAGGACAAATCCCAGCTGTGGACTCGTTGAAGGGGGCAGCTCAACAGAACGTCTCGAGAACTGGAGGAAGCACTTCTCTGGATTACTTGGACAGCCACCCACAGTCCCTGACAATAGTATTCCGATCAGGAATATACACCCTCCACTGAATATAGAGGATGGCCCGTTCACCATTGAGGAACTACGTCTTGCCAAAAAGCAGATAGTAGAAGGTAAAGCTTATGGTGATGATGGTATCTCACCTGAAGTGATGAAGAGGGTGGACATTGATGACGTCATCCTGAAGTTCTGCAACGATGCACTATGTGATGGTCTCATGCCCGATCAATGGAAGCTCAGTAATATTGTTCCTGTGCCAAAGAAAGGGGACCTCACTAAGACCGACAACTACAGAGGAATATCTCTGACATCGATAGTCAGTAAAACTCTGAACAAAATGTTGCTGAACAGGATGAAGCCGAGTCTTAGATTTTAAGGACAAACCGAATGCTTTAACCTGCGCTCACAACATCGCACATTCTGCTCACGTTAATTTATGGAGTGCTAGACCCAATATACGAATGCTGCACATGGTTTTCATTATATCGAATAACGGCGTTTCGTGATCGTGTCAATAGATGGCATGTCATGAAGATATTGAAAGCATTATGAGTATACTGCAAAGCCATATGCGTCATTAGGTTATATATACTGACAAACTAAATATTCCACTCATGCATGTTTGTTAAAAAGTTTTGATATTCCATTCCATAAGAAATGCAAATACACTTTGCCCGTACATTTTATTTATCTGTATTGACTATATCAGACGATGACTATATGTCAGAATTTATCTATCGGACTGTCGAGTTCACTTCAGGCCTGCAATAGAGGATGTTGCGAGAAGATCGCAGACGATCATCTTTGCAGGATTGTTACCTATATGAATAGCCATTGTATGGTCAAAGTACTACTATGGACAGCTTGATGAAAAAGGCAGCGCAAATGATGTTTGGGTTACATAACCGAATAAAAATTCTGATTATGCAAGGAGGGTGTAAGTCCATAAGTCGGTGGCTTGATAACTAGATTGGAAAGGTGACCGCACCTTGTGTTTACCTTGGCATGAATGAATCAACAATTAGGCAACATGGTTCTATAAAATCTCTTAAGCTTGGGAACTGAACTATTTTATATAAGAACAGGACAGTCTGTACTTGAACATTGATAAGATCTCTATTTGATTCTCTTAAGAGAGCATACTCTTCTTGTTGTTGTGATACCTTGCATTGTACTGACCCAGAGTACCAATGATAGGCTCCTACTCCAGACATTGGATATTTGTCATGAATGATTGAATTGGACAGCCTGTGCACATAAACCTAAATAAGTCACTTATGCACAGTACAGAGAAGTATGAGATCCATGCGAAGTAATCGCTTAGCGGTCATTATCATTATGAACTATAATTAGTCGGAAGTACAGTAATCCAGCTGTTGAGTGTTGACCACTGATATAAAACATGTCTGCGGAAAACTCATTTACTCAAACTTGCATTTGTCAGTTCTCGATCGGTCAATGCTAGACAATCTCCTTGAGTAACTCAAAACATTTCTTGCTAATGTCATGAAATGTTGTGTTGTTTCGATTTCTTAATGACGATATTATGATCATATCATGTCGCGTAATTTTACTTGAGACTTGTAACGAAATACCTCCATTAACCTGTGCGATTGTTACTTCCACAACAATAATAACCCATAATGAATTGGTATTGAGTGTATACTGTGTAAGTGAATATACTGTATACATTATATAAATATGTTAGCCACTTGAAAAAGTTCCTATATTTTTTGTCATTTTCATAAAGAAGATCTTTTTCACTGTACTCTCAAATACTAATGATGGACGGATAGTGACTTGGGGTTTCGTCACAAAGTGTAAATGATACCGCTAATTATGATATTCTGTTTGTCATTATGTGTACGGTCGCAGCGACGTTCCATTTTACTGAGATTTTTAGTTCTGAGGATTCAACTTGAAGTAATTAATGATTTTCTTACTGCCTATGATTTTGTATGCAATATGACCCGACTGTCTATCGATTAAGGAATTATGCAAGCATATTATGATAACAGATTTGGATGTCTAGGATTAGTCATTTATTATAATTCCTTAGACATTTCGATTCGAGTTGGGATTTCAAACTTCTGCCATATTTCGCTTAATTAACGTAAATACTATCAGCCCCTGCAGTATAGTAGTACAGCAATAATATCGTAGATTAGTAGCAGATATAGTTTCCATGTTTTAGAAATAAAACAAGAATGTTTCTATAGCAAAGATAATAAGCTGTCTAGACATTGCAGTACTCACTGATAGCTTGTAAATGTTCAGCCTGCATGTTTCAGAATATAGATTGGTTAGTACTAAGTCGCGGTATTATCTTACTATCTGAACTGGTAGCAGACTACATACAGCTGAAAGCAGACTACTCCAGAATCTGAAACGTACGAAAAACTGAGATTACAGATTTTCTGTTGTTATTTTACCTCAGCGTGCACGTTTCACTGTCCATGCACGTGCATTTCTCTCGAATAGTTCGCACTCGTTATGTTTTCTATTGTTACATTAACTATTTTTGTTAAAATGATTAGCTGGAATCTGGATATCCGGACATATTCAAACAATGAAGCGGCTATCCAACAGCAAGAACGAAATTCACATATAGATGTTATTTGAAGCAACTCCATTTGTTCATCGTCCCCCTGTTCTCTGTGGACCTATTACACTAATTTTATCAGGGCCTTATATTCATAGAACAAGAGAATAGTTTAGAAAATTTAATTTACGAAATTCGACCAATAACTTTTCTGATGATTGACTTTAAACTTCCTACCAAAAAATGATGCCTCGTATTACAAATTAAAACAACAACCCCATTATTAAGAGTGCTTTGTTTGTGTTGTTAGTTGTAGTTGTACAGGATGTAACGAAGTTGCTTACTCCAGTTCATTGCTTAGTATACACTAGTTTTATTAAGGCCTGATAATTAGAGAGCTGAAGAATGATTTGTGAAATTCAACAGTTATAAACTGAAAGCTTAGAAAGAAAATATCAGTCATAAATGACGCATATTGTGATCTAATAATGGTTTTTAGATTTTCGAAAATTCAACATAACATCCGAAAGTTCGACTAATAGAATATATGTATATTGTTCCAATCCGGATATTTCAATAAATTTAGCCAATAACCGACAGTTTTGGTTTTACAACCGATGCCTCATATTACAAGTTACAACAACAAACCCATTATTATAACTGCTTTGTTTGTGTTGTAGGTCTGTAGTTGTACAATATGTAACGAAGTAACTTCCTTCAACCTCCGGTTCATTGTTCGGGACTTAAACCAAAGACTGTCTGAAAGCGTTGCTTGCTTTGTGGTGTTTGTTTTGCAGTTTTGGAGCAATAGTCGCTCATACGGTCGCACGAAAGTGCAGCTGTGCGACGTATTGCTTGTCCTGGATCAGTCGTCCTTTGCTGGGTCCCACCGCTTCCGAAGACAAGTTTATCTTTCGTTTCTTTGTTATACTGTATGTGAGCAATTTGGTAATATTTCTCACATGGCCAATGTGCTCAGCTTTTAACACAATATGGCAGGATGTAAGTCTCATTTTTCTTGACATATCTTGCCACTGTTATCTATCTACTGTTATCTAGGGTTCTGGTCATTGTTGTTCGAGCCCGGGAGCCTGCATATTTATTAGGGATTGCAGCGGTGCCACGCTGCTGAGACGATGTACTCGATCATTGCCCGCTGACCGCGTAACCGATAACCTCATAGTAATTTGTTGAGCCAAGACGTCGCCAGAGCATAATGTGTACATGTGCCTGTTATCTATATGTAAATTGAAATGTCAGATCTTTGTTCAATTGCACACACATGTTTTTTGTGGTTATTGCTTAAAGTTTTATTGGCAAAATCTTCCGTTACATATAATAAACATGTTTTCTTGTAAGCCCTAGCCATTTCGTTTCAACACATGACATATAAGCTGAATTGTTTGTAGTTGTGAAATTAGATTAAAATCTTTACCCTGAGGTCGGTTATTACCTGATTTCCCCCAATCCCCCCACCCCGCACCCCGCTGAGGTCTACACAAGGGTAGGAACGTACTGCTTTAACGATTAATATTATAGGAAAAGCAATCGGTCAAGCACCTGTTGGCATAAGATACCAGGAAGAACCCATTCACGAGATATGATATGCAACAATTAAATTGAATTACAGGCTCAGAGATCTGGAATATAATTCTATCATTGACATTATGCTGGGTTTTCATATTATCTGTTTATCTGAAATGAAATTTGCAAACATTATACGTCGTAGACGAATTTGATTATGTAATTTAGGTGCATTGAGTCGTCTGTTAGTAATTTGAAATGCTATTTAACTTCGACTAAACCCTTCATTCCTCTCTGAATGATGAGGCATGCAAGCCTACCTAGCCAGAGATCTCAACGATTTTATTGGGTGATCTCGGTTTTGAAGGTGAAGCTTTAACTAGTTCAGTTGAAAAGCAGCTAAACTTATAGCAACTCGAATGTGATTTCGCAGCTCTCGCCTCATTCTGATTCAAATGTTGAGTGTGCTGGCCTAGATATAGGTTCCTGCAGGACTGGAACATCGTTTAAGATGCTTATGATGATTTTGTACTTCATTTACCAAATTCACAACCGTTCCCATGTCACATTCGCAACTCCTGTCAAATTGATTATACGAGATTGAGCATGCTAGAGGAATTCTACATGTCAGTCTGAATCAGTCCGCTTCCACAGAAGTGTACAGCAAGTATCAAACAGCTGTTTAATAACCATGGGCCTAGGCCTAACCTTAATTTTTATTCATCTTATTCACGAATCTGGGTCTGTACGTGTCCGTAGTGGTATAGTTTATACCACTAGTCCACTAGTCACTACTAGTCTATCTTACTATAGTCTAGTAGTCTACCCGTATTGCTCTAGCTGTCTCTACTCTACGTACATATATTCATAGATCTATTGTATCGGCCAGGAAATTCACCCTGAAACTAGCTAACAATTAGCCCGATGTATAGCAGATCTGTTCTGTATACAGTTTGGTGTGGTTGCTATAGCCCTAAAGGCAACAACTAGCGACTAAACAATATAATAGGTTAGAGCCGGGCAGTGTGAGTTATTATTGTCAACTAACCCACGTCAGAGTCCAAAGTCACAACACTGAGTTGAGTCAGTGTTTGGTTGATGTTTTAACTCTATGATATTGTGTTTATTGAAAGTATAGGTTGACCGCTGTAATGTTTTATGTTTCTAACAAATGATTCACAGTGTGGACACATAATATTATGTAAGCGAAATGTCAGCCATTTTAGACCTCCCCTGACCCGTAAACCACTGTTACGTAGAAATTACAAAGCTTTTCCAAACCCTTCCCCAGGTTGGCTTATGCAATACGT